TATATCAGATGGGAACACACCCATATACCCCATTAAAAATTCTGATTTTTTTTTATCTAAGATTGCCAAAACTCACTTCAAAAAGCATACTAGCCAAAAAAAAAAGAAGTGCAAAAGCCTAGTTGCAAGGTTTTGCATGCAATAACTCTCTCCATGTTGCAAGTGACAATTCTAGTAACTCTATTGATGCCAGCGTATTGTATTGTGGTGTGGATTTTATACTCATTATCAATCTATGTATTGAGATATGACATGACATACAAATGCATAGACTGGTTCTGTTTCAGAACTTAATCATGTCCGACGTGACGTGTAGAACTTAATCAAGTATTATTCGGGCCTTGTCGCATTCTTGACATGAGCGATCAAATGAGTTTGGTGGTGAGGAGATTGTTTTTTACTTGCTCATCAAATAGAAAGTCTGCTAGTCTCTTTATATATGGCGATGTTACATTTTGCTAAAGGTGCGATTGTTCTAATTCATATGATAACGTATTAAGATGCACATAAGAGTTATGTTAGAACGTCTCACATTGGAGAATTGGTGTGTGTGGAGTAATTAATATATCCTAGTTCGCACTTAACTCATTGGCTTAAGTTTTTGAGTGAACGTGCGTTCAACCGGATATATTGATGAGTTCGGATTTGGGTTCTCTCTTGGTGATCTCCCCGAATGAATGTATTGGCTTCTGCTCCGTAATTCCCACAATGTGTATCCAGCCCTTAATTCTTTGACTTCATCCCATTTATATCTGGTTTCCTGCTTTTGTTCTTGCTGTTTGTTCTGATGTTATTTGGTCTGTTTGAAAATTGGGGAAACTTTCAGGACGATTGGGATCTTGTTATAATTCGATTGTGTATGATACTTACTGGGTTTTGGGACATTATGCTCCAAGTCCATTCGTAGAACAATTTGGGATTACAAAAAAATACACGATATTTGATTATCGAAAAATAGATGAATGCAAATTAGATAAATATGAACAAAAGGGATCTGGAAAAATAAGGACAAGGACCTCAAGACTTGGACTTGGTGCTTGCGGGTCTTGCGGGTTTTCCACATTGATATGACCCAGGGAAGATGTTATTGACTTATAGCGGTGGGCAAAGGCGAACACCTCTCTTGTCAACTTCAATTAAGGAAGTGAGGCATGACTACCCTAGGGATGAAGCAAGAGATTAATGGAAAAGTGATCAACGTTGACTGGAAAAGCACTAAAAGTTGATCCAAGTTGGAGTTATTCGTGGACTTTCAATTTCACGAATTTAAATTGAAAGAAACATGTAAATTTTCGATTGCAATCGAAAATCAAAACGATGATTAGATCCTCTGGAATTATTAGATACACTGGATTCGTGCATCCGTTTCTCACACGGCACGTAAATCACGGGTGCGCATGATATCGTATGAGATGGGAACACACCCATACACCCCCTTTGTAAATTCTGTTTGTGTGCTTTAAGAATGCCAAAACTCACTTCTTATTACCGAAAAAATAAAAGGTATAGAAGCCTTCTTTCAAGTAACAATCCTAGTAACTTTGTTTATGCTAGCATGTTGTATTGACGTATGGATTTGATACTTCTTGCGAACCAACGTATTGAGACAGGATATGACATATATGTGTATGGACTAGTTCCGTTTCGAGGCTTAATCAGAATCGATTTGATTTTCGAGGCATAACCATAGTTGATATGGTTTTTGAGACTTGTCACCTCGCAAAGCATGACCGTAAAGTTTTCTTGACATGGGCAATTGAATGAGTATGACATATGCTGTCTATACTGTGTTGCATGTTTTATGATATGGTGCATACCTCATGACTGTTGGAATATATGCATTATGCTTGAAACATGGATGCACACTTTAGTTTCTAAAGCTGCACTCTTTTTTGCTTCATTTTATAGCGGGAGTATTGTCACTTATTGAGTTGTGGCTCTGCTTACCCTACTTTATTAGCATTTTAGGTTCCGAGAATAAGCAAACTTAATTGAGTCACATAGAGAGCGATTTGGAGTGACATGAGACTCTACTTTATATTACTCGAGTAAAAGCTATTGAAATGAATTGGTATGACACTCATTTTGATTAATTCACAAGGCCCTTGATTTTGTTACTATATTTGTTCATAAAATCACTATATTTGGTTGAAGGTTTTGTCCTTTATTTTATAAAGGATGACAAGCTCATTCCTACATTCTCAGCATGGAATTAGGGTGTGATAACCTGAGTCACCTATGAATGTTCATTTGGTCACTTCAAAATTACAAACTCCCGTGACAATTTATCAACATTTATTCTTGTAGTTTGCCAACTTGTTAAAATTATTATACGAAACTACTATCGAGTGCACATGTGAGAGATGTGAAAGCAAGAAGTCCCGCATTGGATATATAGAGCTAAAAGAAGCAAATTGATAATACCTAATTGGCCGCAATCCAATATCTAATGACTCCATAAGAACACTCGTCAGCAATCTAATTTTCTACGAATGAACGCAACAAGATCAACCTTCAATAATATATAAAGATTCTCACGGGAATGAAACGTCGAATGATTTTGTACCACATTTTATCTTTTTCCTCTTCCGAACTTCATCATTTCCATAATTTCTCCATCTATCTATACATCCCGTAGAAGTTCTCCAATGTGGAAGGGCAGTAATATGAACTTTACCAGTTAAACAAAATCGATGTAAGGTCAAAAGCCAGCCTTTTCCTCCTATTCATTTACAGAGAATGATCCTACAACGTCCATAACATCGGCATGTATTATCCTGGAAGTTGCTTGATTTACTCATGGAGAGAGAAGAGTCCATTTCATTAAAATTCTGTTAGAAATTGCATTTCCTTTGGAGAAATGCAAACAAATCATTATAGACCCAAGTCATCGCATAAGATAACGACGTGGACCTCGAGACTTGACTTGGTGCTTGCGGGTCTTGCACGGCGAAACTTGGCCATACACGAGTCTTCCACAAACATGCAGTTGGTCCAACCCCACCAAAGTGAGAGCACGTCGGTCTAATCAGAGCCAAGTTCCTCAATATCTTCATATCACTCTTTAACTTCAATTTAATGGGAAAAGTGCCAAAAAAGTCCTAAACCTTTTGCATTAGTGCCAATTTAGTCCTAAATCTTTTTTTGGTGCCAATTCAGTCCTAAACCTTTTGCATTGGTGCCAATTTAGTCCTAAATTTTTTTTTGTGCCAATTAAGTCCTAAACCTTTTAAATTGGTGCCAATTCAGTCCTAAACCTTTTGTTTTTGTGCCAATTTAGTCCTTCCGGTCAATTTTGACCAGAATTTGCCGATGTGGGCCTGCGGCCGGCCGGTCATACGGCGCGACGTGGCCTGACGTGGACAACTTTAATAATATTTTAATATTTTTTTGAATTTTTTTTTCCTTTTTTTTCTTTTTTTTCCACTTTTTTTTTTTGGTCCGCCCTCCTTCCTCTGACTGGTCGCCGGTCCGGTGACCGGCCAGAGGCCAGCGAGCTCGACCTCGCCGGTCACTGGCGAGGGCGGCCGAGCTCGTCGGCCACTGGCGAGGGTGAGCCTCGCCTTGGTCGGGCGAGGCTCGACCTCGCCGGATCCGGCGAGGTCGGGCCTCACCGGCCACCGGCGAGGCTCGCCCTCGCCGCGGCCTCCGGCGAGGGCTCGAGCCTCGCCTTGGTCGGGCGAGGCTCGACCTCGCCGGTGGCCGGCGAGGCCCGACCTCACCGGATCGGCGAGGTCGAGCCTCGCCCGACCAAGGCCGGGCTCGAGCCCTCGCCGGGAGGCCACGGCGAGGGCGAGCCTCGCCATGGTCGGGCGAGACCCGACCTCGCCGGATCTGGCGAGGTCGGCTGGGCGAGGCTCGACCTCGCCGGATCCGGCGAGGTCCGGCCTCGCCCGACCATGGCGAGGCTCGCCCTCGCCGCGGCCTCCGGCGAGGGCTCGAGCCTCGCCGAGCCGGCGAGGCCCGACCTCGCCGGATCTGGCCAGGTCGAGCCTCGCCCGACCAAGGTCGAGCCTCGTCCGACCAAGGCGAGGCTCGCCCTCGCCGGGCGAGGACGCCGCCCTCGCCAGTGGACGGCGAGGTCGAGCTCGCCGGCCTCTGGCCTCTGACCGGTCGTCGGACCTGCGACCGGCCAGAGGAAGGAGGAGGGGCCAAAAAAAAAAGTGGAAAAAAAAAGAAAAAAAAGGAAAAAAAATAAAAATTCAAAAAAATATTAAAATATTATTAAATTTGTCCACGCCAGCGCCACGTCGGGTGCCGGGTGACTGCGCCGCCTATGCAGCGCCCACGCTGGCAAATTCGGTCAAAATTGACCGGAAGGATTAAATTGGCACAAAAACAAAAAGGTTTAGGACTGAATTAGCACCAATTTAAAAGGTTTAGGACTTAATTGGCACAAAAAAAAGGTTTAGGACTAAATTGGCACAAATGCAAAAGGTTTAAGACTAAATTGGCACCAAAAAAAGGTTTAGGACTAAATTGGCACTAATGCAAAAGGTTTAGGACTTTTTTGGCACTTTTCCCTCAATTTAATTGTGGGTCTTTGCTTGTTTTATTCATTAATCTTCAAGTTTTCGCCTGATGTTTCCCAATCCAATCTGCACATATTCTAACCTTTATCCTACATTGCTCGATGATAGGATACAATTAACCTTTTGGGTTTTCATCTACCTAATGCATTAAAAGTGTGATTTTTCAAATCATAACACTGCCTCATCAATTATTTGGGGCATATGCCTGTCACAACGCTAGCCTTAACTCCACCAGTCAAATCAATGGCAATGACATGCAATCGTGCAGGAACATCTTTGAATATAAGCACAAATGTCTAAAGAGATGATCTTAAATTTGACTTTTTTGGGAGATTGTAGATTTGGAGTCAAGTCATAAGGATGCAGTTGGATAATACTAAAATCAACGAGTGATATTCCCTTTATTGAGATGGTATATGAAATTGTGCACACGTGATATAAATGGTACAGCAACGATATAAAATAATAATTGATTACATTCACTACCATTCATTTTCTTGCTCTCTATAAATGCCATTTGTCTACTCTTAAGAACACGCTCAAAATGAACCTCCCAAAGTTTAAACAAATGCACCCTAACCAAAAACTTGAAGCCTAATCGAGTGGCTTTCACGTGCAATATAGCTTCTGTTTACATTTTCAATATTATTCATGGCGGGACATGATAGTGTGAAAGTGCTTGTACTAGTAAGTCTGTTGTTAATTTTAGACAATGCCTTTTTATGCTTGTGCAGAAACAGAAGCTCATCCTCCATTTGCTTTGAAGAAGAAAGGGATGCTCTGCTGCAGTTTAGACAAAGTCTTTTAGACGAGTCAAACCTCCTTTCTTCCTGGAAAGGTGAAGATTGTTGCCGATGGACTGGAGTGACGTGTGACCGAGCAAATGGACATGTCGTCATGTTCCAAATCTTACCAAAAACTACGTTACTACCAGAAGATGAATTCTTGTCTCCACAAGGAGCTGGCCTCTCATACTCGTTCACAAGGTTTTTTTCAAAAGCTAGTGAACTAAACTCTTCTTTGCTCAATTTGAGATACTTGAACTACCTAGACTTGAGCGGGATCTTTTTCAAGTATGCGTCCATGCCCAAATTCATCGGCTCCATGAAGCAGTTGAGGTACCTTAACTTGTCCAACTCTTTCTCTTTTGCAACTGTTCCTCGTGAATGGGGAAATCTCACCGAGTTGGAATTCCTTGATCTCCATGGTTATTATCGCATGGGTGTTGTTAATGACATTCGATGGGTTTCGCATCTTCGAGCATTAAAGTACCTCGACATGAGTGGTATAAATGTTAACAGATCTGGAGACCTCGTGCAGGTGATAAGCACACTCCCATCTTTATCACATTTAAGTCTATCAGATTGTGGGCTTTATAACTTTCACCTGTCTTTTGGACGCTTGGCCAATTCTACTGCTCTTCATCTTCAGTACCTAGATCTTTCAAGGAATTCTTTTGAAGGTTTCATCCCAAGCACTATATTTCAAAACATGACTTCTCTCCAGCATCTCGATCTCCATAGTTATTATCGCATGGGTGTTGTTAATGATATTCGATGGGTTTCGCATCTTCGGGCATTAAAGTACCTTGACATGAGTGGTATAAATGTTAACAGATCTGGAGACCTCATGCAGTTGATCAGCACACTCCCATCTTTATCACATTTAAGTCTATCCCATTGTAGGCTTTATAACTTTCACCTGTCTTCTGAACGCTTGGCCAATTCTACTGCTCTTCATCTTCAGTACCTAGATCTTTCATGGAATTTTTTCGAAGGTTTCATCCCAAGCACTATATTTCAGAACATGACTTCTCTCCAGTACCTTGATCTTTCAAGGAACTCTTTCAACTTGGCCAATTATACTTCTCTTCATCTTCAGTACCTCGATCTTTCGGAAAATCATTTTGAAGGTCCCATCCAAAGCACTATATTTCTAAACATGACTTCTCTCCGGCACCTTGATCTTCAATCAAACCTTTTCAACTCTTCGGTATCAAGGTGGTTCAATAACTTGAGAAGTCTTGTCGATCTCAATCTTGCAAACAATCTTTTGCAAAGCATTGAGGGAGGGTTGTTCTCTTTCTTAAGGGAAAAACCGTTTCTCCGGTCTCTACTCTTGGGCAATAACGAACTTCATGAGGAGATATATTCAGTGGAGGGAAATTCTTCGGGGCTTATCGGGAAAAACTTCGAGCGACTGGAGATAAGTAACAATTTTCTTCAGGGGCCTTTGCTAGATTGGTCGGTGCACTTGAAAAACCTGAAATTGCTTGACCTATCATATAATCAATTACATGGAACCATCCCATCATCACATGGTTGGTTATGCTTGAGAGCACTTTCTCTTTCTTATAATCAATTAACAGGGAATATTCCGGAGGCATTAGGAAGATCGCAAGTCTTAACAATTTTAGATCTCAGTAACAATCTTCTCGAGGGCACCATTCCACACAGTCTCGGACACCTTCAAAATCTTGCCTATTTAGATCTTTCAGCGAATTCCTTGAGAGGAACTGTTTCCGAAATCCATTTCTCCAACCTCTCGAAGCTAAGGTATTTAGATATTAGCTACAACCATTTAGCTATCAAGGTGGATTCTGACTGGATACCAGCCTTCAATCTCTTATACATGGGGATGGCATCTTGCGAGTTCGGAATGGAATTTCCACGATGGATGAGAACGCAAGTCGACGCAGAATCCATAGATTTGTCCAATGCCTCCATTTCAGGATCTCTCCCAGATTGGCTAGGTCTCATGTCGTTCTTTGAACTGAATCTCTCTTACAACCAAATAAATGGATCTCTATCGAAATTTCCTTCTAGGATGGATCTTTTAGATCTCTCTCACAACCAAATAAATGGATCTCTGTCGAAATTTCCTTCTGTCTCGTCTTCATTAGATCTCTCTCACAACTTAATATCAGGACCTATTCCACAAAATTTTGGTCTAGCGATGCCTTATTTATTTTACTTGAATCTGAATGATAATCTCTTAAGTGGTCCAATACCAACCTCAATATGTGAGATGGAATTTCTGTTTGACTTGCACCTCGAATGGAATGAATTAGTTGGCGAAATTCCTACATGTTGGAAGAAGAGCCCTCGTACACTCCTTCATTTTACATTCCTTGATTTATCATCCAACATGTTGTCCGGAGTCATACCGAGTTCTTTGGGAAATCTAATCGGGCTGACGTCATTACACTTGAACAACAACAATCTCCATGGAGAAATTCCCGTGACTCTAAACTATTGCAGAACCTTGCAGATATTGGATCTTGGAGAGAACAAAATCTCTGGAAGTGTTCCACATTGGATTGGACCAAGTTTTCCGTTACTACAGATTCTTAGACTGCGAGAAAACATGTTCAATGGTAGTATTTCTTCACAGTTATGCCGACTCTCCGCACTGCAAATATTGGATATGGCAGTGAACAATTTGACAGGGATGATTCCAAATTGTATCGGCTATATGAAAGGGATGAAACTGAACAAAAACATAGATAAAGGCAACTCACTCTCCCCTGCTTATGCTCCTGCACATCGTGTGCATGGCCTGCCGGATCAAAACACCACTCATGCAGATTGGAAGCAAGAGCATGTGGAACAGGTCATGAAAGGGGTGGACCTTGACTACACAACACTTGATCTACAGCTTATGGTCAATTTGGATCTCTCGAGCAACAAATTGATTGGACCGATCCCTGGAGAGCTTACCTTGCTTTCTGGATTGCGGGGCTTGAACTTATCGAGCAACTTTCTTTCTGGAGGCATCCCGACTATGATTGGATACGTGAAATCGCTCGAGTCACTTGATCTTTCGAACAATCACCTTTCAGGAACAATCCCACAGAGCTTTTCTGCATTCACATCACTGAGCAAACTAAACTTGTCTCACAACAACTTCACGGGGCCAATTCCCAGAGGAAATCAAATCCAGACCCTTGATGATCCTTCCATTTATGCCGACAATCCTCTACTTTGTGGCGATCCTCTACAAAAGAAATGCCCCGGTGCGGAGGCCCCTCAAGCGCCAGAAGAAGATGCCGATGAAGAAGGTAAGATTGAAAAGGTGATGTTCTACCTCGTCATAATGTTCGGGTTTGCAACCGGGTTTTGGGGAGTTGTTGACGGTTTGGTGTACAAGAAGAATTGGAGACGTGCCTACTTCGGCTACGTGGATCGTAAAGCAGACATGGTGTACGTGATTGTAGCAGTGAAGGTAGCCGAGTTGAGGAGGAGACTGAGAAGAGGGTAACAGGCCTGTTCTCCATATCAATTTAGTCCAATGCTCTATTGATCTCGTGAAGTTTTTGCTTTCTTGTTCAAGCGGAATCGTCTTAGTAGTTGGCTTGTTCCTCCTTATGAGTAGTAGCCAATTTTTTTGTGTTCTTTAGTTTCAAGCTTGTCCGAGCAAGCCGTCAATGGAACGGCATGGGGAGTGCAAATCATGTCATTTGGTAATTTAGTCTTGCTCAGCAATTTAGCAGTACTTTGTGTTATTATATTCATGATGCTATGCTTGTCAATGATGTGAAAGTATGTCAGCAAATTCCATTGTCGTCCTTTTTACGCTCTTGCTGCTAATGGCACAGGGCCATCCAATGTTCAACGGATTCCGTTCCTAAGATTATGTTCCTTTCTCAATTTCGAGAAATCGGAACAAAATTTGCATGTGATCTAAATCACAATAAAGGATTCGTGTAAAGTTTAGAAACAATTCTCCACAAGGTGAGTACATCTCATTATTTAAGAGGAATCGAGGGTCCAGTCATGAAAAATTTCCTGTGGTTGATAGATTTTTTAAGTTGATGGTAGCTTCAAGTACAATTGTAAAAAAAGTATGATCAGTGACTTGCTTGTCATGTGATCTATTAGCAAATAATCATAATTATCATGGACCAACGTCTAAATGAATTTAAAATTACTTTCTTTTAGATTTTAGAAGTATGGTTAGTTAATTGTCATCATTATAATGAATTTATCAACATCCAAATAATTAGCAGGTTATTAACTGCTTCCAAATTTTACAGTGTGTTTAATAGACTACTCACACTACAATGGATTTACCAACATCTTAGTACATTAATAAATTACCAGAGTTTAGAAATTTATTCTTGGTAATTTACTAAGCACACTTGTAAAATTTGAAAAGAAATTGATAACTTCCGAATTTATTCGGATATTAGTAAATTCGTTATAGTGCCATAGCTTACTAACCGTACTTGTAATATTTCAAAAATAATTGTTAACTCATTAATTTATTTTGTTGTTGGTAAATTCTATAGAGGATTGGATATATACTAACCAACTTGTAACATTTTAAATAAGTAATTTATTTACAAATTTATTGAAATATCGTCAAATTCGTTATAGTTAGTAGTTTACTAAACTACACAGGTACAATTTGAAATTAATTGGTAACTTACTAACATCCCAATAATTTGGTGACTTTTAAATTTTTTTTCAAACCGTACAAGTGTACTTAATAAACTAGATGTTAATAATTTATCAACAGGACTGTTTTTTGGGTTGGATTTCCCTGGGCCACCTAATATTTTTATGAATTAGGCCACAAATGTTGAAAGAAGTCGATAAATTTAACGGGATAAAAGTTCATAATTCGACATCGACGTTTGTAACTTGAAAATGTTCGTAAATTATTTTTAAATAATGTTAACTTTCAAGCATGGGTGTTAAAATCTTGATTTAGATCTAAACATCAGACGATGTTGCGATTTAAGTGGGACAATGGACGTGGTCTTGTGAACTTGAATCTATGCAGTTTGCTCGCAACTTTTGATGTTATACATGATTCCATATATCTATACTTTTACATTTTAACATGTTTTAGGTGCGCGTCAAATTATAAAAGTGATAATCCTAGAGTAGAATTTTACTATACCAAGTTAGTAAGAGAGCATTCCTAATAAGTCATATGTTTTGATTGATACTTGTTAATTTATCAAAGAAAATTTTACTAAAAATAAGGCACTTGTGCCTAGGGGTGTCAACGATTCAGTTCGTTTTGGGTTTGTTGAAAATCCGAATCGAACCGAACCGAACCGAACCGAACTGTTAGGATATACGCTTGAATCAAACCAAACCTCGAGCTGAACCAAATACCCAATTCGGATTGGATCGGTTCCGATTTCGATTCGAATGAGAAAACTGGATATTAGGGTTGCTCATGTTGATTTTGAGAGGGGTAAGAAAGAGCATTCAATTTTTGTTGAAAATTTCAATTTGGTTTGGTTAATCGAATTGAACCGAAATAATCCGAATCGGAAGAAAATAACAATTATATTTTCATCATCCGAACCAAACCGAAAATGCAAGAAATTTCGGTTCGATTCGATTCAGTTCTGGTTTCAATTTGGTTTTTGACACTCTGCTCGTGCCCTACAAACTTGAAACTTCTAACATTTGCTATAGAAGGAATAAGGACATGATTTCATAGAATGACAGATTTAAATGGGCCTCAACAACCATGGGCCCTGTTGATTGGTGCTGGTCTGGACAGATTTAGATAGGCCTCAACAACGACGGGCCCCCAATTCTAGCAGCGTCTTCCGGCCACTGCGAACTTCTAACCAGACTCAATTTTGCTTAGGAAAAAAAAGGGTACCGCACAATTGACTCAATAAACATATCATCCACGAGAATATTTCGAGAATCCATATCATCGATACGTATTATCCTGGAAGTTGCTTGATTTATACACAAAGTGCGAACGCCCATTTCGTTAAAATCCTGTCAGAATTTGCATTTTATCCAAAAGAAACACAAACAGATCAATATAGAGAGACCCAAGTCGTTGTAGAATACGACGACACCGACCTCAAGACTCGACTTGGTGCTTGCGGGTCTTGCACTGAAAAACTTAGCCATACGTAAGTTTTACACGATAATGCGGTTGGTCGAGCCCCGACGAAGTGCGTACCTGTTGGTGCTGACTTTGTTAAAATGTTATCTATTGCTTGGCTTATAGCAGTGCGCAAAAGTGAAAAGTATGTAAGTTTTTTACTTGCCAAATGAAGAAGCTTTAGTAATTGAAAAGGCAAGAAAAAAGGAAAAAAAAAACACTAAAAGACTTGGTCCGTGTTTGGCACTGCAAACATTGGACAGTTCTCCACAATCTCCTCAATGGTGCTGCTCTTGCTTCCATGTTGACTTGCCCTAATTTGTAGAAAAATCGATTTTCTGCTCTGAATGGCGTCCGGTCATCGGTTTACTACCAATTGCAAGAATGGATGCGCCTTTGCTTCCTGATTATCATTATGACTTATGGACCTCGCAGTTGCAAGAATGGACCTGCCATTCTCTATAAGTGATCTGGGTTTCGGTAGAGAACCCTCAAACCTGCTCTCTACAGCATAGATTCATTCTCTCCCTCGTTGCTCATGGGGAGATATTGCTCCCCACTGCTTGCACTAGTAACCCTATCGCTTATTTCGGATAACTTATATGTATGCTTCTGCAGAAATTCAATGCCCATTTGGATAGAACAAGAAAGGGAGGCTCTGCTTCAGCTTAGAAAAAGCCTCTCAGACCCATATCGCTTGCTTTCTTCCTGGAAAGGCGAAGATTACAGCAAATGGAAAGGAGTCACTTGTGATGGAGTGTATGGTCATGTAATCGAGCTCCAATTCTTACGCCAGACCGTAAGATACAAAAACGGTACTATCGTTAGTTCCACCAAACAAAAGTTCTCCATGGTAAGTTGAACTCTTCTCTACTCAACTTGAGATACTTGAACTACTTGGACTTAAGTGGGATCGATTTCAAGCGCGGACGGATACCCACATTCCACATGTCGATGAAACAATTAAGGTACCTCAATTTGTCGTTTGGCAACTTCTATGGATCGGTTCCTCGAGAATTACGAAACCTCATGGGATTGGAAGTCCTTGATCTTCATGATGATCATGGGAATTTGGTTGTTAAAGATAACCGGTGGATTTCTTATCTTCAGTCACTCAATTACCTCGACATGAGTGGCTCAAAGATTGCCGCAAGAAGAGAACTCATGCAGATGATCAGCATCGTGCCATCTTTATCACATTTGAGCTTATCAACTTGCGGACTTTTCAAATTTCATCTTTCTTCTATTTGCTTGGCCAACTCCACTTCTCTCATTCATCTTCGGTATCTTGATCTTTCAATTAATTTCCTCGGAGGTCCCATCCCAAATGCTATACTCCAAAACATGACTTCTCTCCAGCATCTTGATCTTTCATGAAACTGTTTGCGCTCTTCAATTCCCATTTGGTTCGACAAGTTTACAAGCCTCGTTCATCTCAATCTTGAGGGAAATCGTCTTCGCAGCATTGAAGGAGGCTTATTGTCATTCTTGAAGAGTAAGAAGTACCTCAAATCATTGCGTTTGTGTAGTAACCAAATCAGAGAAGAGATTTCGACATCCCACGAAAATTCATCAAGATTCATCAAGTGTAACATAGAGAGTCTAATTATATATGCTAATCACTTTAGCGGTGCTTTGCCGAACTGTTAGTGCACTTTCGTCTCTTAAAGTACTTATTGCTTGGCAACAATTACTTCTCGGGTCCAATTCCTAGAGACATCGGAGCATTGCCAAACTCGGTAACAATAGATCTTTCAAATAATCGATTGAATGGCACAATTCCATCATCATTAGGTCAGTTGTCATCATTGAGATGGTTAGATCTTTCAAATAATCGATTGAATGGCACAATCCCATCATCAATAGGTCGATTATCATCACAGAGATTGTTAGATCTTTCATATAATCAATTGAACAGCACAATTCCGGCATCATTAGGTCAACTGTCTCCATTGAGATGGTTAAATCTTTGTTGTAATCAATTCTTGGGGCATATTCCTGCGTCGTTAGGGCAACTGCAGGCTTTGCAAGACTTGCGACTCAACAGCAATCATTTGAGCAGCTCTATACCCGAGAACTTTGGAGAACTTTCCCAACTTTCGGTTCTGTATCTTTTCAACAATTCTTTGGGAGGAGTGATTTCGGAAATCCATTTTTCTAATCTGTCGAGGCTAAAGGATTTGGACATTGGTGACAACAAGAACCTGGCTTTTAAGGCAGAACATGGCTGGATACCACCTTTTCAACTTCAGTCCATTCGGATGAATTCCTGTAAATTCAGATCCACATTTCGCGAATGGATGCAGACACAAGTGGACGTCAAGGGCATAGATCTCTCAAATGCTTCAATCTTCGGGGCTTTGCCTAAATGGTTAGGAAACATGACATATAGCTGGTTCAGTCTCTCGTACAATCATATTACCGGACCCTTCCCCAACATATCTTCTCACTGTTCCATTTTAGATCTCTCCCACAACTTTATCTCCGGACCTCTTCCAACCAATATTGGCGAGATGCACCTGGAGACCTTGTATCTCAATGATAACCATATTAATGGCACGTTACCATCATCCTTATGTGAAGAGGGTTTGTATGATTTAAGTATTGGCAACAATTCGCTATCCGGCAGTATTCCCGACTGCTGGAAGGTTTCTAGTTTGTCTCACTTGACTTTGTCATTCAATAAGTTGTCCGGAGTAATTCCAAGCTCAATGGGATCCTTACAGGGACTTTCAACCCTACACTTGAATGGGAACCATCTCAATGGGGAGCTTCCACTGGCTTTGGGAAATTGCACAAACTTGAATATTTTGGACCTTATGTAGCTAGCAAGGATCACCTAGAGGGGGGTGAATATGTGATCTAAAACAATTTTTAGTAATTTATGCGGAAACGAAATAAATCACAGAAGAGTCTGAATAAAGTTCAGATTCAAGACAGATTATATAGACGGTGCTCTTGATGTGCAGAATGTAAAGTAAGAGATAAGGGAAAGAGAATCTGCACACAAGTTTATAGTGGTTCGGCTTATAGCAAGCCTACGTCCACTCTCCCACGCTTACAGCCTATTGGCTGGATTTCACTATGTAATCAAGAGGAATTACAACTTCGAGTGTTAACACTCTTGTGTATGATAGGACTCTCTATCTCACACAATCACTCTTACAAAGTGTCCTCAAGATCTTAATATTTGGCTCGAATGACAAGAGAAAAATGATTGGATTAAGCTCGGACTTTGGACTTGTTGATTCTTGATTCTGTACGCACCCGCTTGCTCGTTGATCTCCTTAAATACTCCTCTGCTTCCAAACTAGCCGTTGGACAGCTTTCAGGAGGATCATCTTCCAATCTTTACCTTGAATGATTTGTATAGTAAGAAATTGAGTAGCCGTTGGTTGTGATTCTCGAATCCCGCCGATTCTGTCGCCCATACAATCGAATCTTGGTTTCCATAAGTAGAACTTTGTCCGTTGTAATGCATTCTTGTCATGATGTTTGATTGTCAATCGGTTTGATTCAGATTGAGACAATCGAACATTCCTTCGTGAAATCCATGCCGATCACTAGCTTGTTGTGTTACGTTACGAATGCAACGTCGAAGATATTCTCGCGTCCGCATCGGAAGAACTCCTGGCGTGCTGCGTCCGAAGAATTTCTGCGTCCGAATAATTTCTTAAGCGTCCGACGAATTTCTTCGTCCGAATAATTTCTTCGTCCGCATTTGCATCCGAATAACTTCGCATTCGCATCTGAATATCTTCCGTTCGAATCTCGTAACTTCGATTATGTGGGTCTTCAAAAATATACTTGACGGCTTGTAAAGTCCGAATAACTTTCTTGAGCCAGAATATACAGGCCTGGAATAATTCAGAATAAGTATCAGATTTACAATAACATAGAAGGTTTTGTCAACTTCAAAATTAATAGGAGTTTTCCTCAACAGAGGAGAGTAACTTCTCCGGAACCATTCCGACATGGTTCAGCGAAAGCTCTCAGTATTTGCAGATTCTGAGGCTACAAGAGAATAGTTTTACTGGTAGCATCCCTCTGCAGCTTTGTTCACTCTCAGGATTGCAAATATTGGATATGGCAGCGAACAAATTGACGGGAACGATCCCGCGTTGTCTCGGCTATATGGGTGGCCTGAAATTTTTCATTCAAGACAATCTACCTTATCTAGATTGGAATCGAGAGCTTGTGGTTGAGATCATGAAGGGAAGTTATATTGAATATACCAAAATTGTTCTAAGACTTGTGGGCAATTTGGATCTCTCGAGCAACAACTTAATAGGGCCGATCCCTGAAGAACTCACTTTCCTTGCGGGATTGCAAGGGTTGAACTTGTCGCACAACCTTCTTTCTGGAGGCATTCCCATTGGCATCGGGGACATGAAGTCACTCGAGTCTCTTGATCTTTCCAACAATCGCCTCTCAGGAACAATTCCGCCGGGCATTTCAGCATTAACATACCTAGCCCACCTCAACCTGTCGCGCAACAACTTCACGGGGCAGATTCCTAAGGGCTATCAAATGCAGACCCTCATCGATCCTTCCATTTACGCAGGCAATCCTCTACTCTGTGGCGATCTTCTGAGAAGAAAATGTCCTGATGCTGAGGCGCCTCAAGCACCGAAAATCTCTCAACCTGAAGATATACATGAAGAGGATAAGGGATTGTTCTATGTGGTTGTAATGCTTGGATTTGCAACTGGGTTTTGGGGCTTTTTCGGAGTATTGCAGTTCAAGAAGGATTGGAGACGTGCATATTTCAACTTTGTGGATCAAGCAATAGACAAGGCATATGTGGCGATAGCCGTGAAGGTAGCCAAGTTGAAGAGACTGAGACAGTCAAGAACTGCTTAAGTAATGAGCAATCCCGTGTCCTCCCTTGCCTTTGGTTCTTCATTTTGGATGTATGAAACTTCTTGTGCTCGTGTGATCTCTTCCATTTACCAATCTCTTCCCTTCCAGTAGTTTGCTCATTAATGTATTGTAATTAGTATGCTATGAGGTTTTCAACTTTGTCCTGCGCAGTGCGCGAGAACTCTTAATAAACGGCAAGGAAGACACCTTTCTTGTGTTACGGACACGTTGGAGAATATGCAAAATGATCGAGTCTAGGAATATCAATAGAAATATAATGATACAGCCCGTTTCATGTGGGCCAAGCCCCAAAAGGAATACTATGAGTAAACGCACAAGGTGGTAATCATTTATGGGTGGGTGTTGATCTATAATCACTCAAAAAGCTTTCTCCAATCCGATGCTCGACTCGTTATATCTCAAGAAGCCTTTTACTAGGGACAATCAGAATGTGCGGATGTTTGGAAAGGTTGCCCAAAGCATCATCCAAAGGCACAATGTTCTGGAAAACTGAAAAGAGAGGTCGCGCAGTGTAATCTATCAACAATCAAAACAAAGAAAGCAGGTAATGGATTTCAGGAGGTTCTGATAAAAAGAAAAAAGCATCACGCGACAGGGAACTTGCTTTGAGGAATTGCACCAATGGCAATGGCTTAATCTCTCTGTGTTTCCTATTTTTTGTTTAGGCCAAACTTTCTGTTTCCTCTTGACGGGAGGTTAAATCATCTATAGAACTCATCTCGTTTTATAAGGTGGCAAAGCACAAGTATCTGCTAAACATTCCAAGAGACAATAGAAATCTTAGCTGAATTACAGAATCACATGCTAAGAATGGGTAGACATTCCAGCACACGTCGGCGAATTTGTGAAGCAGAAGATGGACAAACGTGGGCAGAGAAAAATTGAAACAAATAGAAAACAGACAGCAGTGGTAAGCGAACAATGGCCAATTCTAGCTTAAAGGCCATCATTCAAGCGCCAAGTCTTCCTATCTTTTCAACTACAAGAGCTTGTGAAGCATAAATTCAAACAGGTGGGCAAACAATAATCCGAACTAGAAAGCCTTTCATTTCCCACACAATCCCGCCATCAAAAGAACACAAGCTCATTACCTGATTTTATGAAGTACCATCATAAGCCATGGAAGTGAGCATTATGAGCATTTCACTGTTCAACTTTCAGTTGAAAAAGAGAAATGATGTAATCTTGGGTACCTTGGTCAAGAAAGTTGGCCCCGAATTGCAGTCGCTTTAGTATACTCATGCATGACCCATACCGTTTCTTTGGCGCTTGAACCCTTGCTTTCTGTGAAATATAAATTCCTCATAGTGCCGGTCAACTCATTAGTGCCTTTGGCATTGATCTTCTTCTTTTGACCGGTTGTTTTCCAATGACCGGACTGAGTTTGTTGGTCAAATTACTAGTGTTTGGAGTCTTGAACTCAAGACGAGACAAGAAGGATTCGAGCCGCAATATGAACATGGCCATCTGCATACTTTCCAAGTCAACTAAAAGATGCATTTATCTCACGAAAAATAAATAATTTTAAAAAATATTTTCTAAAAATGATCGTTTATATCGTCAAAAAAAACGAATCAACGAAAAATATATTCATCATTCATGAAAATATTTATACATAAATTATTGTCGATAATGAAAATATTTTTCATTGACTAATTATTTTGATCGACATAATCGATCGGAAATATGTCTTTCAAATCATTTATTTTCCGCGAAACAATTAAAGCCTAATAAGATACAAAAACTAGTGGAAGTTGTACCTCATCACAACTCATAAACTTCTATTTCGATTGTTTCGGAATCGTATTGAAACCTTAATGGTCCATACTATCGATGTCCCTAGTTATGACCACGGAATACCTCCTCGAAAATTGTGCAGAACATTAGGACACACTCGCTCAAAGAGTGAAAACGGGTCGCATTCAAGTGATATCTCTAGACGATATTCAATATATATACACGCGTGTGCAAGCGACCGATGGTTTCGTTTCTTAGGCTATTGCTCCCTCTTTTTAATTGAGAAATCACCTGAACGAGGGATGATGTTACCTGCTCACTTTTTGAGAATTTCATGTCCAAGGAAAAGGAATGATGTGACCTGCTCACTTTTTGCCTTATATTCCTTGCTTGACATGAACGTAATTTAGAAGATCGACCGACCTCAATTTGGACTTTGCGCACGTCTCTAGCCCAAAATAAAATGCTCGAATAATGCCCATATAATGTCCCCCACCTCATCTCTCACTCTCCTCCCCACCTTCGGAGTTCCCTCTCTCTAAGCTTCTTCATTCCTCATGGCTCAGGTCATTCCAACTTCGTACATTCTCTCCATCCACGTTTGACTTTCTCGTCAGCTCATTTGCATGATCTCGTTTTCTTATGAAACTGCATCTTGAAAAGTTGAAACTCAACTGTTTTGAACTTCATCTTTCCTTGCTGTTCTGAATTAATTCCTGCAGAAGGTGATACTGAAGGTGTTGACGATGGCCGACGACAAAACCAAGCAAAAGGCCATTGAAGCTGCTGCCGATATCTTCGGTATTTCCCTTATCGGAGTTCATACCCTTAGTTTATCGAATATCACATAGATGATTAGCATAATCTGTTCATTTTCACGCTATCCTCTCATGCAAGTACTTAATATTACGTGAAAATTGGCTGCTGTTGCTGTTGCTGCAAATCCTGCACTGATTACGTTGTCACTTAGTCATTTAATGATTTTTATGTGGCTGATGGATGTTTTTAACATTGCGTTATGAGAAAAGGGGTGGACTCAATAGCGGCTGATCTGACGGACCAGAAGCTGACGGTGATAGGGCAGATGGACACGGTGGCGGTGGTGAAGAAGCTGAAGAAGGTGGGGAAGGTGGACCTCATATCAGTAGGACCAGCTGTGGAGGAGAAGAAGGAGGAGAAAAAGGAGGAGAAGAAAGAGGACAAGAAGGAGGAAAAGAAGGAAGAGCCGCCCAAAGTGGAGAATAAAGTAGAGCAAAAAGTTGTGGATAATAAGTGAAAATGAAATGAGTGATCCTCATTTGGTCAATTGCATATCACAATATTTTTTTGCTTTCTCTCTTTTGTTTTCTTCTTATGATATGCTCATGCAAGATAAGAATTTCAGATCATAGTGAGGTCCTTGTTGCTAGTACAACTTAAATGGAAGTTAGATGAATGGCATGTATTAAATTAAGGTATTGAATAGCTTACTTCTATTATTGTTCGAACTTAAATTGTGCTCAACATCTTTCTTTCGGGAAATTCCAAATATCTTCCTCGAATTTCATCGGCTTATCACTCTGCATATTCGAATTTTGAAACTTCTAAATTTGCATGCCCTATAAAAAAATTTGCATGTCAAACTACCCCGAAAGAGCAAATCCACTTTCAATGAACAAGACTCAAAAGTCAAGATGCCAAATGAGAAAAGAGAACTGGTAAAAACATTTTCAGAAAAAAAGGTAGTAAATTGGTCAAATACTCATATTCGAATGTTGGTACCGGCACTCTAGGTGAACTCGGAGTTTTTGAAAGTAGAAGTTGCAAAATGATATGTGTGAAATTTATCAAGAAAATTACCAAAAAGGTTCTAAATTTATTGTACGGTGGCTAATTCAATCCTAAATCTTTTAATTTTGTCAATTTAGTCCTAAATCTTTTGAAGATTTGCCAATGTAGTCACTCCGGCCAATTTTGGCCGGAAATTGCTAACATGGATGCTAAACATCTTAAATGGCACATGCAGCGCTGACGTAGACTATTTTTTCATACTTTACCGAATTTTCTCTTTTCTTTCCCTTTTTTTCTTTACTTTTTCTTTTTCCTTCATTGAATTTTCGGTTGGTGGGGCCCCAATGCCGGCCGACAATGCCCTTGCCGACCATAGGTGAGGGCCTCCACGCCCTCGCCGGCCAATAGGGAAGGGTTGTGACCCTTGCCCGAATCTAGGGAGGGTTCGACACCCTCACTTGTGGGCAGTGAGGGTATGGAGGCCCTCACCTGTGGCTAGTGAGGATCGTTGATCCCCATCGACCAAAAATCCGAACGAAAGAAAAGAAAAGGAATAAGAAAAGAAAGAAAAGAAAAAATGATAAAATAAGAATTTTTTTTTAAAAAAATTGTCCATGTTCAACACCTGCCGTTTGGCTAGAAGTGTCAAAACCGAACCGAAAAATCGAATCGAGATATGAACGGAACCGAACCAAATAAAAAATTTCATGCATTTCGGTTCGATTTCGATTGCGGTTCGGATAATCAAAATTAACTAATTTTTTTTTCAATTCAGTTTATTTCAGTTCGGTTCGGATCGAACCGAACTAAAATAAACATTTCGGTTTTAGCCCTAAATAGCCCTATCTCGCCCAATCGCCCTCTCTCACGCTCGCATCTCCTTCTCCCTCTCCCTCTCCTCCTCGCCGCTCCGCCTCCGAAATTCGCGACTCCCCCCTCCGGCTCCACCGCCGCCGCTGCCGCTGCCTCCTCCGACAGCCGCAGCTCCCGCCGGGATCACGGGCCCGAGCAGGGCTTTTTCCTTCGCCGGTCTGCGCGATCGAGCCTCGCCACCGTCACCTTTTCCGTTCCTCGGTTTCCCGTCGTCGGCGGCGGCTCTTGGTGCAAGGGCACCGGCGATATTATCCCCATCACCCAAGGATACCTATTCGCGCCTGTTCGACAAAGCTTCGATTTTGCTACATGTTCCCGAGTGTTCTTCTTTGGGGTGAAAGGTGATGTAGCTAGCAAGGGTCACCTAAAGGGGGGTGAATAGGTGATCTTAAACAATTTTTGATAATTTATGCGGAAACAAAATAAATCACAGAAGAGTCTGAATAAAATTCAGATTCAAGACAGATTATATAGACGGTGCTCTTGATGTGCAGAATGTAAAGGAAGAGATAAGGGATAAAGAATCTGCACACAAGTTTATAGTGGTTCGGCTTATAGCAAGCCTACGTCCACTCTCCCACGCTTACGGCCTATCGGCT